TAACTTCAAAAGCCTTGAAGTTATCTTTGTTATGCAATTCAATACTAATTTCACTGGTAGTATAGCAAACACAAAAATAATTAGCACATATCAGATTATCTAAAATGCAATTTTTTTTGGTGCTGGTCCTGCGGCTCACTGTCCAAAAGCTTCTTTTGTTCAAGGTTAGCACTCTACCACTTAGGCCACAGCTCTACTTCTGGCTTTTTTTGAGTATTTCATTAGAGATAAAGAATCAAACTTTCATGCCCCAACTTGCTTCAAACTGTGATCCTCAAATCTCAATCTCCTGAGTAGCTAGGATTATAGCAATAAGCTATCCATGCTCAGCTACAAATTTAATTTTATTAAGTCAATTGGAATTGGTTGAATATAATAAAAAAGTTTATAATTAACTTTAAGGACTAGTCTATAAATAGAAGCCTAACAAGTGGGTTTTTTTTTTTTGGGTCCAGTCGTGGGGCTTGAACTCTGGGCCTGGGCGCCGTCCCTCAGCTCTTCAGCTCAAGGCTAACGCTCTACCACTTGAGCCACAGCGCCACCTCTGGCTTTTTTTTTTGCTTATATGGTGCTGAGGAATCGAACCCAGGGCCTCATGCATGCAAGGCAAGCGCTCTACCACTGAGCCACCTTCCCAACCCACAAGTGGGGTTTTTTTTGTTCTGAATTTGAACTCAGAGCCTCAGCACTGTCCCTGAGCTTGTTTTGCTCAAAGCTAGCACTTTACCACTTGAACCACAGTGTCATTTTCTGTTATGTGGTACTGAGGAATTGAACCCAGGGCTTCACTAAGCCACATTCCTAGTCCCTTTGGTTTTGTTTTTTGAATTGCCAAAAAATTTCAACATTTCAAGCTTAATATTTTAAGAAATATACTGCACTTAACTCTTTTTTGGAAATTGGAATTGCAGATATTGACTTGATCAAGTTTTCTGGTGGAAGATCCAAAACTCTGGAAAGCTGAAAAGTCAAAAGAAACAAAACAGGGCAAGACTGTTAGACATATTGGGTAGATTGAATGGAACACTACTTAACACAAAAGAAATAAACTACTGATATATTTAACAACAACTAAATCTTAAATGCATCATGCTAAAGAAACCTGAACAGAGAATTTTTTTGTTATCAAAAAAACCAGAAAGAGAATATACATTTCCTTTGGCATTCTGGAAATTCCAAAACCATAAGGATTAAGAAAAAGATACAGGGGAGTTGGAGGTGTGGCTTAGGTGGTTAACGTTAACCAATGAGTAAAAAATGATACTGGCTGCCAAGAGTTGAAGGCTAGGAAAGGGTATAAACATAAAGTACAGAGGAGGATTAAATTTTATGTTTGTAAATTTAAAAATTAAGAAAAATTTTATGGGAAAAGATCAACAATGAAAATTCAAAGATAATCTTCATTCAGCAAGTTTTGGAACCAAGAAACTTGAAACTAGAGGGAAAGGGATATGGGGGGCGGGGAAATGATGGAAAGTTAAACTAATGAGGAGGCATTCCACACCTAAATGGATATGTTAAACTGAAGCCCCTTGAACAATGATTAGGCATTTCTATAATAAATGACATATATGCAACACACATATATAACTAATTTCCTAGAAAAGCAGGAAAGCACAATAAACATTATCCTCTAACCTATGTTAATTTCCTCAAGACCAAGTAAGACTAACCTAACAGGACCAAACTTTTCATAAAACTTCATTCTAAAACCAGGCTGTCTTCTTGACAAAAAAAAAAAAAAAAAAAAAAAAACGAGCTTCAAAAGCTTCAATAGAAGCTTTACAAAAGGCACAAACCATCCTGTAAGATGAAAATTTAGTAATGAACGGAAAAGGCACTGGAGGCATTATTTATGGAGGGAGTATTCTGCATGTAGATGTTAGTTACTATGGCTCTCCAACAATGTGAATGCAGTTAGTGACTATGAGTTGAAATGGTTAAGATGGTAAACGATGTTATATGTATTTTCCCCACAATTAAAAAGAAGAGCTGAAAGAAAAAGTGAAAAACAGATTAAAAATCTGAAAACCATAGCCAGTGGCTTATACTCTTAATTCCAGCTGAGGGCTGAACTTCAAGTTTCTCAGCTAGCCTGAGCAGGAAAGCCCATGGAACTCATATCTCCAATTAACTACCAAAAAAGCTGGAAGTAGAGCTGTTGGCCCAAATGGTAGAGGCGCTAGCCTTGAGTACAAAAGCTCAGGGACAGAGCTTAGGCCCAGAGTTCAAGCTCCAGGAACACCCCTCATGCCCAGCAAGAGAAAGAGAGAGGTCTGAAAACTTATTTGAAGTTTTAAAAATATAATTATTTTGAAATTTTTTAAAAAGTTAAACTTTTATTTAAAAAAAAAACACCAAAAACAAAAAGGAGGCAGGCACTGGTGGCTCATGCCTATAATCCTAGCTACTCAGGAAGCTGAGATTTGAGAATCATGGTTCAAAGCCAATCCAGGCAGGAAAGTCCAGGAGATTCTTATCTCCAGAAGTGGAGCTATGGCTCAAAGTGGTAGAGCGCTACCATTGAGCCAAACAACTCAGGAACAGCACCCAGGCCCTGAGGTCAAGCCCCACAACCAACTAAAAAAAAAGAAAATTTTAATAACTGGAAACAAAAGTATGATGCAGAAAGAAAGAGTAGATTTTTTAAAAAAAAAAAACAAAGATTAAAGCAGAGAAAAAAAGAAAAAAGAAAAAAACTTGGAATGAGATAATCAATCCAACCTTAGAAAAACTGGGGTCCCTGAAAATGGCAGGGAAGTAGGTAAATATATAAGGACATGGACAAAGTACAAAGCCACAACTTTTAAGTAGATCTGAGCAGTCTCATCTGACTGGGCCCTAACAAATTCTAACTTAAGAGCCAGAGAGATACATCAAAATCTCTCTCTGATGACTACTGGATAAGATTCTCAGAACGGGAACTACACCTGACAGACTTCCCTGGCCTTTAGCAACACTAAAGCTCAAGAATGTGACAGCCTTAGAAACTTGTAAAAAAATTTCCTTACCTTGTAAATGAACACCTGAACTCTATACAACAGATTTCCATCTCTTTCTATTTTGCCTGCCTAATGATCTCCCCCATTCTCTAAGTGACTATTAAAACTTTAGCATCCAGTAGAAAAAGGACATTATAGCCTATGTGCAGTCCTAAACCACTCATTTCTCTGGCACAAAGGCAACCTTGTTTCTATTACCAAGATACTAAATACAAGGTCAAGAAATATTAGTCTGGCTCTAGACAGGTGCCAAATTTGGTTAGGAATTAAACTTGCCAGGTTCAGAATCAAATTATGACAACTGTATAAAATCCCCAATTTTGCTATCTTGACTTACGGGCTGAGAAAGCAAAGCATCAACTGAATAACTGAACCAATCTATCTAGTCTAGAAATCCATAGTTCACTATAACATCCCTTCATTATTTTTTTTGTCTTTATTAGCTAACTTTACAATCTTTGGAGACTTGACCTTGTTTGGTCTATAAAAGCTTCCTGAACAATTCTTCAGAAGAAAGCAAAGCATCAAGATGCTCTGATTCCTTGCATTCCTTGCCAAGTAATTTCACCAGCCACATAAACAGTGTTAGACCAAAGGCAGCTTTGGATTATTACTATTATTACTGGTGGGTTGTGGGGCTTGAACTCTGGGCCTGGGCGCTGTCCTTGAGCTCTCTTCAGCTTAAGGCAAGCGCTCTGGCACTAGAGCCACAGCACCACTTCTAGTTTTCTTTTGATTAATTGGAGATAAGAGTCTCACAGACATTCCTGCTGGGGCTTGGCTATGAACTGCAATCCTCAGATCTCGGCATCCCGAGTAGCTAGGATTTCAGGCATGAGCCACAGGGTTCACAGCCAGCTGTGGATTCTTACCTGGTGATTATCCCTACCCACCTCCACCCTCTCTCACTGACAAATTAGCCTTAAATTCTCAGTAAATCTAACCATATTTTCCTAATTTGATGCACTACCAAGAGCATTGATGAGGCAGTGTTTTCCTTTACCCAAGAAAGTAGTTAAGTTCAGGTTTGTCGCATAAAAGGTAATGTTGGTGACCTTAGGAAATCTAACACTGGCAGAGCAGCATGGCAGAGGAATTTCCCTTCAAATGCCAAGACAAAATAAAAACGAGCTTAGGTGAGTAATACACTGGGCAAATGATGGATATTAAGTTATGCACTAATAAGAAGGGGTCTGTAAAGACCCAGAGTGGAACGTTTCCTTGCAAATTTTTACAAGTAGTTAGTGAATTTAAAAAATTACGCTTGCTGAATCCCAGATCTCTTCCGAAGTTTTTTTTTTTTAACTGCCTCCTTATAAAGTTGTTCAAATATGACCCTGAAGCAAAAGCAAAAACAAAAACAGTGCCCTGGATTGCTTTGAGATTTACCCAAAAACGAATTTTAGGCCCAGACTGTATAAGAGAACACAAGAGAAATAAGTTTCTCTTTAGAACAATAATCCAGATCCATTCTCAATTTCACTCAAGTGTGAGGAACACTAATTTCTGCAAGGTCCAATGGTCCCTAAGGCTTTGCACCCAGGATGAAAGCACGCTAAACTCTGGGCTGGGAAGCCTCTAGGAGGCCACAAGCGCCTTTGGGGGTGACTTTTCACATCAACACAGAGGTCCTCCCCGACATTCCCCACCGCACGGAGAGCTCGCCCAGCCGCTCGGGGCCGGGGGGGGGGGGGAAGGCGGGCAAGCAAGGGTCCGCAGAACCGGCGGAATGAGGACTAGTTCAAAGCAGTGAAGGGACTTGGGGTCTTCGTCACCCCCCCGGCCCATGCGGGGACAAATACCTGACTGGCAATCGACCTGCGGAAGCCACACGCCATGCCTTGCCTCAGCCAGCGCGCGGCGACGGCGGCAGCCGGCGAGTTCCAAGTTTACCTCCCACTTGCCTCCGCACGCCCCGCCCCTTTCACGCCGGAAACCCGCGTCGCCAGCCAATCAAGAAGCCGTATAGCACGCCACTAACCTTTGCCCTGTCGCCGCGAGGGCGCGCGGGAAACTCCGGCGCACCGGGACGACGCCGGGGTGTTACTGGGACCATGGCTACCTCCTCGGTGTCCAAGGTACGTGGGGGCGGGCGCTCGTGGTGGCCCCACCACCGCCTGAGGCGTCTTTGAAGGGATGGAGCAGAGGTTCTGTAGGTTTCGGTTCCCTGGCTGGAGGGCCGGGGTGGCCGACGGAGTTCGCCTGTCTTTGCTCGGGATCCAGGGGAGGCCGACTGTGTGGGGCCGCAGGTCGCGGGTCTCCCTCGTGGTGCGGCCTGGAGGACTTCTACTTGCTGTTTTATGGAGGTCTGTTGTCCCGGGGGTGCGCCCTATCATTCTTTTACTTGTTCCCTGTCATCAATATGGACTGTGTGCCTAGCACCACGTTAGGTATTGAGATACCTAGATGAGCCGTGCAGACCGGTTTTTGCACGGAAGAAAGACATTGGTACGTGGATGTTCATCAACTGTGGTAAGTGTTAGCGAGGGGAAAAGTTCGAAAAGAATAAGAAGAGTGGGAAAAACTTACCGCAGATGAGAATCTGCGACGGCTTTGTGAAGAAAGTAGCATTTAGGCTTTACCTGAAAAATGAGTAGAAGCTTGGCAGGTGTAGAATTGGGGAAAGGGACAGCCTAACACCTTTTTTTTTTCCCCTTAGAAGACAGAAATAATGGAAAACAATCAGGTAGTAGAGAAAGAATAGGAACGTTAGGAAAATTGAGAATTCAAAAGTAATGCAAGTATGTGTGTATGGGGGGAGTGGAGGTTATGTAGACCTCTCAAGTGGACTGCCTAGGTCACTCCAGGACTACAAGTCAAAGAGTAGTTGTTAAGATCAATCCTCAAGTTGTACTGTCCAGGGTGGTATTCTTTTGAATATTCATTTGGTATTCAATATTCTTTTGGTTTTTATTTGAATTGAAGTAAAATTCAATATTCAGTTCTCTCGTAGCACTAAAACACATTTTGAGCTCTTAATAACCCTTGTGACTATTTCAGAATAGATGCATGAAATTTCTGTCATTATAGGAAGCTATTCTGGATAGTGTATTCTGGACCATAAGTGCATGGGGAAGCCCCTAAAGTCAAGCTGTCTGATGAAAAATATAGATGAAGAAATTGTACAAACATTTCTCCCTGTGAATTAATGATGAGTGCTTACCCAAACATCTCATTTTTAACTGATTAAAATGGTCTATGAGAGGCAAAAGAGGAAGCGCAAATCCTGAGGTTTAAAGTTTCAGCAGACTGTGATGCCGGCTTCAAAACCAGAAAAGATTTGACAGTACACATATTTTTATTTGGATGATGATTTTGTTCTTAATACAGATCTATAGGTTTTGAGTGGTCAGTCTTCAGTACTGTTTGTTGTAAAACACCTCTTATTTTTGTGTATCTTACTGAAAATGAGATTTTTTAGGAAAGAATACCTATATTGGGATGATTATAAAGTAGACCCAATTAATTTTTTTTTGTTTTTACTGGGCCAGCCCTGGGACTTGAATTCAAGGACCTGGATAATGTGTGTTTTTGTTTTTGTTTTTGTTTTGCTCAAGGCTAGTGTTCTACCAGGAGCCACAGCTTTGCTTCTGCCTTTTTGGTTGTTAATTTGAGATTAGAGTTTCACAGACTTTTCTGTTTGGGCTGGCTTTGAACTGCAACCCTCAGATATCAGCCTCCTGAGTAGGTAGGATTACAGGTGTGAACCACCAGTGCCTGGCAATAACAAACTTCTTTTGGAATGAATAGTGTTATTTGAACATTGTTGATCTTCATTTTAATACATAGTATTTATGTTATTTTCCATTAAGTCTCATGAAAATGGAACCATTAGTTAAATTTAATCAAGTTTGTTTTCATCTACCTATTATCGTCTCAAAGAATAAAAGTGAAATAAGTAATGTGCTTTCTTAGAAACCAAGAAAACATCTTTCCCTTCTTTTAAAATCTGCTCATCCATGAATATTTAGGCACTTTTTTGCTCTGTACCTAATTTGACTTTATGCTTGTTCCCCCCACCCCTTTTTAAAAATTAGGGCTGTTTTGTGTTTAAACCAAGCTTCAAGAAGAGAAAGATCTCTGTACCAATAGGTAAGTGTCTCAAGATCAAATTTGTTAGCTATTTCTTCTCCCATTTCATCTTCAATATGAAGACCTATGCTTAATTTAACTTAATTTTCTTTTCTAAGCTTGGCTTTCTCTGCATGTTGCTGTAAAGGGTATATTTCAGTAGTGATATTGACTGAAGGGAGAAAGGAATATTTCAGGGAATGATATAAAGGGGAATATAAATGTATACTCAAAAGGAAAGCTATAAAATAAAAATACCTTTTGGGCTGGGAAGGTGGCTCAGTGGTAGAGCGCTTGCCTTGCATGCATGTGACCCTGGGTTCGATTCCTCAGCACCACATAAGCAAAAAAAGAAAAAAGCTGGAAGTGGTGCTATGGCTCAAGTGGTAGAGCGCTAGCCTTGAGCTGAAGAGCTGAGGGACAGCGCCCAGACCCAGAGTTCAGGCCCCATGACCGGACCCAAAAAAAAAAAATCTTTTAAGGATTTGTGTGCCATAATTGTTTTATCTACAACTTCTGAAATGAAAATGAAAATCATTTTCTACTAGAAAAGTATATTGATCTTTGATCAAATAAAAATGCTGATTAGTAACAGATGTCTAGTAATGGAGGAAATATGTATATGTGTGTGTATATGTATATAATAAAACTAATACAGAAAAGCGTAAGAGAAAAAATAGAAATTTGTATTTTCTAATGAAAATTATGTAAAAATATTACTGGATGAAATAAATAATATTGGGCTGTAATGTGGCTTAGTGGTAGAGTGCTTGCCTAGCATGCATGAAGCCCTGGGCTTGATTCCTCAGTATCACAGAAAAAACCAGAAGTGTCACTGTGGATCAAGTGAGAGTGCTAGCCTTAAGCCTAGAAAGGCTCAGGGACAGTGCCCAGGCCCTGAATTTAAGATACTGAAATCCAAAGGATGGAGATTCACAATCATTCCAAGCAATAAAAGTCATCAGACTCCATCTCAAGAATAAGCACCAATTAAAAAAAAAAAAGAAGAAGCACAAAAAGTAGATCTGGAGTCATAGTTCAAGAGAGAAAGTGCCACCTGAGTAAGCAGTCTGAGTGAGTGAGAGGCCCCAAATTCAAACTCTAGGATTGGAAAAACAAAGAATCAACTGGTTATAGTATTCCGTTTTATAAATAAATTTGCTGCGATGGTTAATTTTGATTGTCAATTTATTTGGATTAAGAAATACCTAGATGATTAGTAAAGCATACTTCTGGGTGTCACTGATGGTGTTTCTAGAGAAGATTGGATCATGTGGATCTGGACATTTTATCCATTAATGGATGAAAATTTGAGTGGACTATTGAAGGATGGTATGGAAACTGTATTGTCATGGGTGTGTCTAATAGGAGGCTGTGGCTTGCTGGAATTGTGTTTTTTTTTTTTAATCTTGTTTCTGGCAACCTGAAGTGATCATTCTCCTCCTGGTCCTCTAGCTACTTGGATGTTCTGCTTTGTCTCAGACCCAAAGTAATGGAGCCAGTAGATTTTGGACTGAAATGTCTCTGCACAAAATACATCTTCTCACAGAAATGTCAGTCTAACAAGATAAAGAAGTCTGGCAAGATAAAGAAAAATCATCTAAATGGAATTTAGGAATATACTCCATGCATACCTACATATGTTGGGGGAAAAAAAAAACCTCTCAAGTCCTAGATCTCTTACAGTAATTCTACCAAGATATAGACATACCTAGATTAGAACTAAAGAAACTTGGAATGTGCACCTAACTCTTAACTAGTTGTATAGCCTTTGCTCTGGTGTTTCCCTAGGTCTCCACATCTGTAAAGGCAGGATCTAGATTGGTTTATTAAGATGTCATCCTTATCTCATTCCTCTAAAAGCTAACACATAGTGCTTTGTGAATAGTAAATAATTTGTGTTACTGTGGACTGTCAAGTACCTCAGCCTTGTAGTTTGTGTTGTAAGACTCCCTCTCTCAGCTGAAGGAAGGGAAAACCTGAGAATGAACAGCAGAAGACATGTTTTCAAAAGGGACAGAGTTGCTGCCTATATTAATCCTTCACACCTTTTCTACCAGTTTCTGCTGTCAATCTAAAAGTGTCAGTTTCCTGAGAGGAAGTAGTGAGCATTGGTTGTGAAAAGACAAGAGGAAACTTGAGTGTCATGGACTTGTTATCTGTCTTGATCTCCACCTTCATGGGGTGGTTATGTACACTGGCTGACCATATCAAGTTGTTAAAATGAGTATTTTACTTACAAATTATATTTCAATAAAACTAAATGAAAAATGCCTTCATTTGAAGCATTTATCTTTAGACAATCTGTTTAGTGATCAAGTTAAGAAGACTTTTCAAGCAAATAACATGATTGTTAGTCAAAAAGTGGTTATTAGAATCATTTTGGGGAACTTTTTATCTTGATACAATTGTAGATTCATATGCAGTTGTAAGAAATAATAGAGAGTTCTCTACCCTTTGCCTAGTTATCCTCAATAGTACAGACTTATATTTAAGTATCCAGTTCTGTGTCTGTGTCTGTGTCTGTCTGTGTATGTTGCTGGAGATTGAACCCAGGGCTTCATACATGTTAGGTCAGTGCTCTACATCCCAGCTCAAGAGTTTCTTTTTGTTTTTTGGGGGGGGGTCTGGTTGTGGGGTCTGAACTCTGGGCCTGGGCGCTGTCCCACAGCTCTTCAGCTCAAGGCTAGCGCTCTACCACTTGATCCACAGCGCCACTTCTGGCTTTTTTTTTTCTTTTTGCTTATGTGGTGCTGAGGAATCGAACCCAGGGCCACATGCATGCAAGGCAAGCGCTCTACCACTGAGCCACCTTCCCAGCCCCAAGAGTTTCTTAAACGGAGTAACCACCTGAACTTTACACTATATATTTTTGTATTTCTAAGAGTATATCAGAATTTTTATCTCCATTAAAATATGTGCAAATACGTAGAAAGAACTTTCTCATTGTTAATGTGCTTTAATGGTAGAGTGGGATTTGAACCCAACTGTCTGATTCCAGAGCCCATGGTCTATTAATTAATATAACCACCTCTATATGAAGCAAATAGTTGCTTAGAACTTTTTGTACTGAATTCCATTTATAAAGTAATAAGATTTTCAGTATGTAGTGCCAGTAAATGTGATGTGCATAGTTTTATAATATGAGCTGTTTTAGACCTTTGATAAAATTTTTATTGTGCCAATAAGACCAATAGATACTGTTATAATATGAAAATCTTCAAGAAATTGATGCCAATTATGAGACAGATGGAGCAGGAATGAGGAATATCAATACACTTATTAGCACTTGCCTTCACTAGCTGCATTTCTTGAAACCGAGAAGTAGAAAGATGTGCTGCATTTTCCCCACCATCTGTCTGACTTGAAGACATTTGGGCATGCCCTTGAGGCACTGGTTACTTCCTCTCCTCAGTATTCTCTAGATAACTGCACAGCCCAGGTTCTTCACTATGAATTTTGTTGCAGTGTTACTTCAGCAAATAAATTTATGCCTTGATTTGCCCCTGAACATTTTACTGTGATTCTACCCACTTTCAATATAAAATGACGTGTTTTTCTGTTTAAAGCTACCTTGTTACTGTTTTACCTCTTAATATCTTGCTTTTTTATTTTTTCTTTTGCGTTTTAATTTTGTAACTTTCCTTTGTTGGCTATACTGGGGCTTGAATTCAGGGTTTTACACAACAGGAAATATGAAGGAAAGTAGAAAACTAATAAATGAAAAATATTTGATTTAACAAAGATTTGTGATGGCTTTTGTATGTGAAACTTATTTCTCTTTCTCTCTGTTGCTTTCTTGCTTGTGTGTTTATGACAGAGGCTCAGGCTGGCTTCAGACTTGCAACTTACTATTGCTGGGGTGACAGGTGTACACTGGTGTTTCAGGCCTCAGCTAGCACATGGATTTTTTTTTTTTTATTGGCTTACACAGTTATCCAGGAAAAGGGGGGAGTGGTTATTGTTATAACTACAAACGGGCATGAATTGATTTTAAATTTCATCTTATATAATCAAAATACCTGTGTAACAATTTTTGAGAAATTAAAAAATTATTACAAAATTATTTTTATAGGAAGACCTTTTTTTTTAATATGAGGAATTAGTCTATTTTTAATGTCTCTAAATTAGAAAGTATCCTGATTAAAAAAAAATTATGTGGTACTGAAGAATCAAAACTCAGGGCCTTATGCATGCTATGTAAGGACTCTACCACTAAGCCACATTCCAAGCCTATTTTGTTTTTTTAATGTAAAGAGTGACATTGATTGATGACAGTGCAAGATACAGTACTTTAAAGACTTCGAGATTAATACAGAAAGTTAGATTCAGTACTTTAAAGAGTTCTAGATTAATACAGAAATAGAGTTAGATTCAGTAATAATGGAAGATAAAGTTGAAAAATAGCTTAAATAGACAAGTATTTATATAAAAAGGTCAAATCAGTGGGAGAAAGAATAGATTTATCAGTAAATGAATGTTTTTTTTTCTGAATTAGATGTCATATACCATTGTGAATTATAAAATCAGTTTAGTGAATCATGCCACAAGAAAAGAAAACATTTGCTATTACATGATAAGGATTGTTCCATGTGATTTTTGGTTTTGTTTTTGTGTATGTGTTAAATTACGGTGTAAAATGTATTTCTTAATGTGAATTGTGGTTTTGAAGTTTGAAAAACGCTATAATAAAAAGTATTTTGACAAATGGCTAACAAGTTGGAGAAAACATCAAGAGTATAAAATATATAGACTTAAAGCCAGTGCCAGTCGTGCACAACTGTAAACCTACTTACTCAGGATACTTGATATCACTGTTAGAAGTTCAAAGCCAGCCCAGGAAGAAAAATCCATCATAACATCTCCAAAATTAACAAAAAGTTAGGTTGGATCAAGTGGTAGAGTGCCAGCTGTGAGCAAGCAAGCCAAGCAAGAGCTCAAGACCCTAGTTCAACCTTTGGTACCAGCATAAATAAAAATAAAGAATAAAAAAATAAATTAAATGAGACTGGACCACAGTATGTCAGTGGAATCAAAATAGTAACAGAATCATTAAAAAGAATTCAAAGCAAAAGCATAAGCCAAAATATATGAGAATAATAGAAGTAAATATAAATGAAAATAAATAATGAAACATTAATAGTAAATGTATATGCTTCAAACCAGAAACCATTAAGTAAAACTCTTAAGAGCTGGAGCAGTAGCTCATGCCTATAATCATAGTTATTCAAGAGGCCAAGATTAGGAGGATAGTAGTTAAAGACCAGACTGGACAAATGTTTATGAGACTCCATCTCAACCAGTAAAAACCTGGGCACAGTGGCAAGCGCTTGTCCTCCCAGGTCAAGGATAATAGTACAGGCAGGCTCAAGTGTAAATGTCAGAACCTACTGGAAAAGTAAAGCAAAAAAAGTTGGGTGTGGATTAAATGGTAGAGCACGTACCTAACAAAAAACCCTGTACAGCTAAATAAAACAAAAACTTAGAAATTTAGAAGTTAAAGGAAATTTAGATTTATTATTACTTATGTTTTTTGTAGTGCTGGAGTTGGAACTTGGGACCTGGCATTTGCTATCTCATGAGCTATACTCTAGCTTTAAAAAATTTTAATTGTGCGGGGAGGGGGGGAGGGGGGGAAGGAGAAGGATTGGGATTGGGGGGGAGGGGGAGGCTGGGAAGGGATGTGAAGGGTAAACAAAGGAGGAGGCTGCAATGCTTGGTAAGAAATGTACGCATTATCCTGCCCATGTAATTGTAACTCCTCTGTACAGTATGTTCACAAATAGAATAAAATTTAAAAAAATTTTAATTGTGTGTTTAGAAAAAAAAACAAACTTCAATTTCTATTTCTCACTGTCCCACAGCTCTTCAGCTCAAGGCTAGCACTCTACCACTTGATCCACAGCGCCACTTCTGGCTTTTTTTTTTCTTTTTGCTTATGTGGTGCTGAGGAATCGAACCCAGGGCCTCATGCATGCAAGGCAAGCACTCTACCACTGAGCCACCTTCCCAGCCCCTCAGGTAGAGGCTTCTTATCTTAAGGTATTCACCTGAAGAAAGACCTGTCTTAGTAAGAAGAGACTGAAAATCTAACACTTGGCTCAGATAGAGATTACCACAGATGGAAGTGGTGCTGTGGCTCAAGCGGTAGAACGCTCGCCTTGAGCTGAAAAGCGCAGGGACAGCATCCAAGCCCAGAGTTCAAGCCCCACAACTGACCAAAAAAAAAGAGAGATTACCACAGATGACCTCCTAATGACTAACCTTATCTGTATAATGAGACAGCCTCTGTTTCTTGAATTTTTCTCCTACTCTCTTATAACCTGTTGCCATTTCCACTCCCACATCTACTCTCACATCCCAACAACCAGCCCCAGAACCATAGTTTCTTTCTCTAGTTCAAAATACATTTTAAGCTACCCCCATCTTGCTTTTATTTTGTGTCAGTTACTTTGTCTGGCACATTATATGTTAATACATTTGTAGGGGTTTTGTTTCTTCTTGTAAATGTATTTTTAGTTTATAGACAGAAATTATTGAACATTCAAAGGGAAGCAAAAAATATGAAATTTCTTTTTACCAGTAAAGACACATCATGTTACTGTTAACTGATTATTCATAAAGATTTGTGTGTGTGTGTGTGTGTGTGTGGTTTTTTTTTTTTTTGTAGCAACTACAGGAAGAATTAAATAAAAACCTGTTTGACAGTCTAATTGAATTTCTTCGAAAGTCTCATTCTGGATTCCACAAATCAAGTGACTGGGGCTGCCAAATAAAACTCAGAGAAATTCCAACTGCTGCCCTCATTCTTGGTATGTACATATCTATACTGAGTGCATGAACAAATGTGTGTATACTTTTTAATTGTTGTATTTCTGAGAATTGTGGGGAATAACTTGTTCTAATAAACAACTTTTAGTTACAGAATGAAACTAGTTTATGTTCTTTCAAAATCAAGAAGTTTGTTATACTGATCATTTGTGAGTTAAAACAACTGGTACAGCTAGTGTTCTCTTTAATTTTTTGTCAGGAAGAAGAATTACATTTGTTTTATTCTTCCATATCCATGTTATAAAGGTGTATGAGATTTGGATTCAGTGAAAAATCAGTGGGCCTGACTTTGTCTTCTTCTAAAACAATCACATCTTAATACTAAGATATATTAAGTAACCTATAATATATTGTTTTCGTGTGCTGAGTTTTTCAGTTTCAGATTGCACTATATTAACTGCATTAGGAAAGGACTTGGGTGAATTTTATATAAATTACTTTCAGATTACAGGTTGAAAAATTTTAAAAATATCCATCACTAATACCTATCTTTATTAAACATGGATTCTAAGATGGTAGAGAAAGAATTCTCTGAAATATTGGCAAATTTCTATCTTTTTTTTTTTGGTTGGTCTTAGGGCTTGAACTCTATGCCTGGGCACTGGCCCTCTGCTCTTCAGCGCAAGGCTAGTGCTCTGCAACTTAAGCCACAGTGCCACTTCTGGTTTTCTGAGTGGTTTATTGGAGATAAAAGAGTTTCACATTAAAACAAAGGAGGAGGTAACAATGCTCAATAGGAAATGTACTCATTACCTTACTCATGTAAGTGTAATCCCTCTGTACACTAATTTTACAATGAAAAACATTAAAAAAATAAAAGTCTCACAGACTTTGCTGCCCGGGCTGGCTTTGAACTGCGATCCTCAGATCTCAGCTTCCTGAGTAGCGAGAATTACAGGTATGAGCCACCGTCACAAGCTTTCTATCCTTTTTTTAAAAGGAAACAAAAGAGTTTTCCTCCTCTGAGTATTTGTGTGTGTATGTATTTATGTTTATTATGATAAGGTTTTTTTTGGGGGGGTGGTCATGGGACTTGAACTCTGGGCCTGAGCGCTGTCCCTGAGCTCTTCAGCTCAAGGCTAGCACTCTACCACTTGTGCCACAGCACCACTCCCAACTTTTTCTGCTTATGTGGTGCTGAGGAATCAAACCCAGGGCTTCATGCATGCAAGGGAAGCACTCTACCACTGAGCCACCTTCCCAGCCCCCCCCCTTTTTTTTAATGTTTTGCTACCTCTGGAGATTTTTATTCAACCCAGCCTCCAAACCAGGTTGCCCTTTGTTTTTGAATGATTTAAAAAGAAATAAGCTGAACAAAATAATGAAATCACTCCTATTTTTAAAGATCAGCTACCCCTATTCAATAATTTTCCAAAGAGGAATTTTGCTAAATATCTTTCCGAATAAACCAGTTGTGTTAGTCAGCTTTCTGATTCTGCGACAAAATACTCAGTAATCAATTGATGAGGAAAAAAGGTTTGTTTCGGCTCATGATTTCAGTGGTTTTAGTATAGTTTATTGTTCCTTGCTCTTTTGGGTCAATGCCAAGGCAGTCAATCAGGATCAGAGTGAAGAGGCTGTCCTTTCAAGGATGTATACACAACACCCTAGCTGCCTTCCACTAGGATCTACTTTCTGTAGCTTCCATTCCCTCCCAGTAAGTACCAGGCCTCCAGTACCTTATGGGGTATATTCAGGAACCAAACTATATCTTTAACATGAACCTTTACAATTATAATTGATATGCCTTCATTTCTATGATATATTTTCTTCATCTCTATTATGAATCATGTTTTTTAAATGATTTTAGTTGGTTGGTTGCTTGATGTCTTGAATACCTGTTTTTTGCAAGTAATAGGGTCTCATGTGCTTGGCTCAGCTGAGCCATGTCTCCAGCCCTGAATACCTTTTATTGTTGTTAAATGATTAATAAATTGTATCCATGTATTATTTCTTAGGTGTGAATGTCACAGATCACGATTTAATATTCAGAAGTCTAACAGAAGCCATTCAGAGTAATGTTACTCACTATGTAGTCTCGTTGAAAGCTAAAGATTGTCCAGGTAAAGTTTATAAATGCAAATTTCTTGAAGAGATGTTACAAAATATGTCTGTTCTTTTCTCTCATGTCTTCTTAATCCCTTTTTGTGGGAAAGCATAATATTGCATAAAGCTTCAGACGTTTAATGTCATCCAGAGTAATTTTAGCTCCCCAGAATAATCATGCCTATTATAGTACTTTTAGCAAATTCTTGTGCCTTTTATTTTGGTCCTGTTCCTGCTGTATCAGCTTCATTGCCACTAATAGTGAATGCATTTCATTAATATGTGTTCCTTAACAGTGAATCTTCTAGTAGGATGAAAAATTTAGAACACAAAGCTGAAAACTGGGAAATAGTAAGCTTATATTTAGCCCAACTGAATGTAGACTCTATAGTTTATGTTTACATATATAAACCATCATATTTTCTATTTTAATAGGCTGTCAATGGTAAAGGTAGTCCATATTGGCAGAGCCAAATTAGAGACTCTAAAGTCATGAAATCATAGTGTTATATATGCTAATATAGCAAAATTGATTGTGTTTGGAAACAAGACTTACATATTTATATAAGTTCCATTTTCATAAACTGATTTGAATTTTTTAAAGGTCTAAAAATGTAAAAATGTTTATAAAGGCAGTCTTTATTTTTTTTTATTGTGATTAAGTGATTACATAATTTCCGGAATTTCACAGTATTGTGGAATAATGATGCTCATTTAAAGTCACAAGTTCATTCTAACTTTCCTGGAGCAAATTGTCTATCACAGTCTGTAACATATAACGGTGTTCACATGTTATACACCATATATGTGAGCAGCGGATATTTAGTAGTGGTTCAACCAGATGAGTGGGAGTTCTTTGTTTCTTAAGTCCTGTTAGTTTTGTCGTATCACCTAACATTTTGGATTTAGCATCCACTTATCAGGGAGACCATGTACCGTTTGTCTCCGTTCTTGGCTTACCTCGCTCAACATGATTCCTTCTAGGTCCATCCATTTCTAAAGGCAGTCTTTAGTAAGATGATTCATGTAAATACCAATTTTGATTCTTTTTTTAGGAATCTTAAAGTCTTTGTTCAATATGATTTAAACATATAGTTTCTATGTTTACACATTTGCCTAGGTAATACTTTAATAGATATTTTAGTCTGTTCTTAGTAAGAACTAAATAAATTTAAGTATTAAAGAGAAGATACTAATGAACATTAATAGTATGTTAAATATTATTTTATCTGTTGATAAATATCAAAAATTACATTCAAATTAAATAATGTAATATATTAGTCAAGATATTTCAAGGGTTTTTAGAGAATATAAATGTTCTTTTTTAAATATTTTTTCTATTTTGCAGATATAAAACATTTTTTGCAAAAGTTTGTTACACAATTGACAGACTGCCGTGGAGATGTAAAATCCAAAGAGGAAGAAAGTGTTCAGGTCACACAGAAGAAGACACATTGTTCAATGGACTTACTTACCACTTGGTATAAGACTATCACAAAGGTAAACACAAATTGATGATTTTCTTCCTGAAAATGGTGTATGAGACTTAATAACCTTGTATTTCTGCAGCAAGAGGTGTTAGTATAATACTTTTTTTTTTTTAGTATGTACTTTTATTAAATAAACCTAATTCCTGAAAAAATCTGAGGTCTTACAAAGACATTGTATTTATGGGACACTGCCCTGTAATCACAAAAACCAAAACAGTAAAACTATATCAGAAGATGGTTCTGTTACAGATATAATTTTTGTAACAGTGGCTGTACTTCACTCTGCTTGCTTTAGTATTTGCTTTTGTGTGATAGTGTCATGCTTCCAGTTTCCTATGTTAATTTAGTCCTCTGAGGAATAATCATGTTTTGCTTTGTTTTTTAAATATAACGTACTCTATGCTTAGAAATCCAAGGGAATACTTTATTTCAACAAAGGAGGTAGCTAAAAATAAATTCCATTCTACTGTGATAATTTTCAGTGAAAATGAGTACTTTGATTACTTGGTAGCTATAATATAAAGCCACATCTTTAGTTTATAATGTTACATAGACAGTGTGGGTTAAAAAATCCTGTGGTAACATTTTCCATTCAATATTTTTATTGATGTCATCATAAGTTTGCTTTATATAAAGGTCTAAAGTAAGTCATGCTTACCACAGTACCTTAATTTCATCCACACTTAGTTATTTTTTAGAAATCAAACACTTTGCAGTTTAGGGTTCTTTTTTCACAGTCGTAGAACAGATACCTTTAATTAGAAAGCATTTATGTTTTTGTCTTAAAGCAAAGCAAAAAAAAACTTTCTCCCAACAAGGAAAATCAATTGTGTAAACAATTTTCTCTTAATGTTTTTCTAACTTTTTTTTTTCAATAGAAAATGCATTCTTATGAGTTACTGATTTTACTGAATGTTTTCTTCTTGGTTATTATCCCCATGTCAGTCACAGAAATATCCCGTTAGTAACTGTTGGAATGAATTTCTGTTAATTAAGTAAGAAAAATAAAAGAAACATTATCACTGTCTTTAAAAGAAAATACATCAATATTTGGCATTACAACATTGTTTGAGTGGTAAGGCTTACTTTTTTAACTCCTTCTTTCCACAATATCTTAAAAGAAGACAGGCCCCAAAATGCCAAGCAAAAAGAGGATTACTTCTAGCCAATGGCATTGTCCTCCTGTTGTGCTTATCTTAAAGGATATGGAAAGCTTCTCCACAAAAGTACTCCAAGACTTCATCATTATCAGCAGGTAGATGGTGTGTTACTTGGCTTTTGTGAAAATGTTTCTTTCTGTTAAGAAAACATTTCTTTTAACCTAAGAGATATTATCTTCATTTTAAGACCAATTTAATAGAATTCAAAGTGATTTCAGTTTTTTTTATGAATGTTGTTTTTTATTTACATTTTAACTTATGAATAAGAATCAAGTATTTAGTCTTTTAATTAGCATATTAAGGGAGTATAAAATAAATAAACTATTCCAGGTTAATTTTATTTTAAATCAAGCTTTATTTGATGAGCTATTGGTTTTCTTGTCCCTGTGACAAAGTATCTGAAACAAACAATTTGAAGAGAGGAAAAGATTTAATTTTGCTCCTAGTTTCAGAAGTTTTAGTCCATCCTGGTGGGGAGAACATTGTGGAGCTGAGTTGCTCGACTGGCACTGGCACCCAGGGGGCTGAGAGATTGGAGAGGGCCAGGGGCAAGATATTCCAAAGACTACTTCCAATTGACACTTCCCAAAGTTTCCAGAACTTCCCAAAATAGTACTACTACCTTGGGATATAGGCTTTTTTTGGGGTGTGTGTGTAGGGATAGATTCCATATACAAACCATAACACCTGTCTTTAGAGGTTTTCGAGTTTGCATATAGCTTTACTGACAAAGATTGTTTTGCAAGTGACATTATCTTATGTTTATAATATTTGTAGTGAGAAACTGCATTTGTGATGTGAGGTCATGAGATTTTCAAGGCACTCCTAGAACACTCATGGTTGAAGTAACTATATTTAAAATCCCCTGGTGTGCATTTTCTGTAGTATATATTTTAGGATGTCATCTACTGTTTTTTTGGTTGGTCATGGGGCTTGAACTCTGGGCCTGGGCACTGTCCCTGAAGCTCAAGGCTAGGGCTCTACCACTTGAGCCACGCCCTACTTCCAGCCTTTTCTGCTTATGTGGTGCTGAGGAATTGAACCAAGGGCTTCATGCATGCAAGGCAAGCACTCTACCACTGGGCCACCTTCCCAGCCCATCATCTACTTTTGCTTCCTTTGTATATCTACTTTCCTATGCGATAGTTGCCTAAAGTTGTTATAATTTTTGATCATATATTTTGGTAGTTTTCTTTGTCCTTCCTCATTGTTTATAACAGTTCTAGATGCTATGATTTTTTTTTTTTCTTTTAAGCAGTGCTGAACATGGAACCCAAGGCCTCATATCCTAGGCAAGCACATCTCCAGGCTCTGTCTCAGGACCTTCCTTAGTGCTGACTGAATTGCTTACCATGCTGGGAAAGTACACAATACAGCATAGTGATAAAACCAAAACAAAACATCATACCTTTAGAACTCAGACTTGCACTACTTTAGCTATAAAAAATAAAGGACTTGTAATGACACTGAGAAAATCCAAGCCTTTTATTAAAGATAGAACTGCATACTAGTGGAATATTAAAAAGCAGTAGCTGACAGGAGAGAACAGACAGAATCATCAGCCATAGTACAGAGAGCTATGATTTACAATAGCCCTTGATAATCTGCTGTTTTACTCTGTTGAACTTACTTGTATTCATTCTAGTATTGCAAAAAATAAATCTTGTTCAGTATATGTTTGGAATAAAAATGAAGGGATGAAACATTTAATGATACTCAGGGAAAGATACGTTGTATTTTGTGTAAGGATGTGGGCAAAGAAATGAAGTGTATGAGACAAATTTGGATAAAATAGTTTCTGATAGAAATGTCCATAAATAGGGGCTAGGAAGGTGGCTCAGTGGAAGCGTGCTTGCCTTGCGTGTATGAGGCCCCTGAGTTCGATTCCTCAGCACCACATAAGCAGAAAAAGGTGGAAGTGGGCACTGTGGCTCAAGTGGTAGAGCGCTAGCTTTGAGCTGAGGAGCTGAGGGACAGTGCCCAGGGCCAGAGTTCAGGCTCCACAACCAAAACAAAGAAAAAGAAATGTCCTTAAGTAAAATCAGTTGCCTTGAAAATTAATGAATTTCATGTCACTGAAGCATAGGTAAGATGAACAGTGTAGTTCAGACTGGGAGAGAAGTTAATGTTGTCTAAAATGTCTTTGAATAAGGAAAAGATTGCCCATGGGGCTATGTTTGATCATTTTTATACCTCTGTGTTCTTATGTATAAAATGAAAGAATCCACTACTTCATTTCAGAGCTAGAATGTCTGAAAAATCACTATTTTTGTATTACTGTAACATATAATAATTGACAGTTTTAATATTTGGAATACTTATTATCTTATAAAGTAGACATTAAAGAAAAAGCTAGTCTTAAAGGATGATATATTGAAATAGATTTTCTAAAGAAATTTCACTTTTATATCTTTCTTTACAAACTAGTCAACATCTGCATGAATTTCCACTAATACTTATTTTTGGAATTGCCACATCTCCTATTATCATCCACCGATTGCTTCCTCATGCAGTGTCATCTTTATTGTGTATAGAGCTGTTCCAGTCTTTGTCTTGCAAGGAGCATCTGACTACCATACTTGATAAGGTAAAAAAGGGGGGCGGGCAGGAAGACTGACACAGATGGAAAGAAAGACTTGGAAGCGTAGATTGTACATACACATATTAATGGTAGTTCTCACAGTGCAACATACTCCTTTACGTATTTTAATTGTGATTTTTTTATTTTTCATATTTTATATTGATTGTTGTATCAAGTTGTCCCTTTAAAAGGTAGATGTTATAAAAGAATGATTATGTCTGTGTGTTTGTATTTTTTCACAGCCTTATGCTACATATAGTTACTAACATGCTTTGATCTTCCTATCATGTTTTTTTTTTTGTTGTTGTTCTTGTTTTTGTTTTGTTTCGTTTTTTTGGTGCCTGTCCTGGGCCTTGGGCCTGGGTGCTCTCTCTGAGCTTTTGTGTGTGTGTGTGTATGCTTAAGGCTAGTGCTGTACCACTTGAGCCATAGTTCCCTGTCTATTTTTTGATGGCTATTTGGAGATAAGAGTCTGACACCTTTCCTGCTGGGTTGGCTTTGAACCACAATCCTCAGATCTCTACCGTCTGTGTAGCTAGGATTACAAGCATAGCCAGTGCTCCTGGCTTACCTTGTTGTCCTTGATAACAAATGCTAAAATGAAACCCTGAGAACAAATTTGGGTATTAGCAAAAGAAAAAAATGCCCTAGAATGATATTTCATTTTCAGATGTAAGATTTGCTGTAGATAATTGAAAATTGAAATTGACTTATTCTACATTTTTAAAGTAAAAATCAGTTATTTTGTCTGTTCATTCAGTATTCTATAGTCTAATATATTTTCATTTAAATCAATAAGGATAAAAGAACTCATGTTTGGTAATAACAATTGCAAAACCTGTGGCTTCTTGAATGAACTCTGGTGTGAAAAAAATGGTTACCCAGTTAATAAGCAATAACTTAAATTTGATGCCTAATTTAAAAATTAAAAATAAGGAATATGGTGTGTATCTTTGGTTGTGAGTTTGTAGTAAAAATTACTTCTTTTTATTTATTTTCTTTGTGTGCCAGTATTGAGTCTTGAACTCTGGGCTTGGGTACTTGACTGTTCCCTTCCTGGTGCTTGGTCCTTTTTACTTCCTTGGTTTTTTGCAGGGAGAAAGGGGTTAGGCTAATGGTCTTGGGGCTTGAACTCAGGGCCTGGGTGCTGTCCGTGAGGTTTTTTTGTTCAAGGCTGATGTTCTCCCACTTGAGTCACAGCTCTCCTTCCAGCTTTTTGTGTTTAATTGGAGATAAGAGTCTCAGGGACTTTCCCTGCCAGAGTGGTTTTGAACCTTAATCCTCAGATCTCAGCCTCCTGAGTAGCTAGGATCAGGGGCATAAGCCACTGGCACCCAGCTTCGTTTTGTAATTGTTAATCTGGTATAAATTTGTGTTTAGGTTTTTTTTTTTTTAACTGTATTTTTTTTTTGGTCTTTTCTTTTTTGGTACTGGGGATCGAACCCAGGACGTTGCACTTGCTAGGCAACCACTTTGCCACTGAGCTACATCCCAGCCTAATCTGGTATAAATTTGAAGTGCACTGACCAGTACCTTTATTTTTTTGTTTTGGTTTGTTTTTTTTGGGTCTGGTTGTGGGGCCTGAACTCTGGGCCTGGGCGCTGTCCCACAGCTCTTCAGCTCAAGGCTAGTGCTCTACCACTTGAGCCACAGCGCCACTTCCAGCTTTTTTTTTCTTCGCCTATTTGGTGCTGAGGAATCGAACCCAGGGCCTCATGCATGCAAGGCAAGCGCTCTACCACTGAGCCAACTTCCCAGCCCTGACCAGTATCTTAAAAAGCTGGAGTTTATTGGATTGACCAGCCAGGGCTAACTCAACTCGGGAATGAGCCAGCCCCAAACACAAATAGCTCAGGGTTTTTAAAGGCAAGATCCTTGAGGAAAAGGGGCACCACTTGCAGGGGGCCAGCAGTAGTCTCACAACCGGCACAGAAGCAAGTAAGAAGCAGAGCTAGCAGTTAGTGATTACAAAATGGTGACTACAATTCCACCAAGGCCTTAAGTCACAAGGCGAAGTCCTTATTCCAAATCTTCCCATTAAAGAAGCAAGTTAGTGAAACAGCAATTACAGCCTCTATACACAAAGAACTAAGACCTCAAAGCAAAACCACATTCCAAATTTTTTCCTTACCACACCCCAAAATCAAACTATCTTCCAGATTTTCTGATTTTTTCTGAGTTTCATTCCAATAACCTGGTGTTTAACTCACCAATTTACTTCAAGCCTTTATCTTTGGAATTTTTCCTTTTAATGGCTAGCTTTGAGCTTTTTTGTTTTCTACAGGGAGATACTGCCTTTCAGTTTGGCCCTATTATTTTATTTTATTTTTTTTTTGTCAGCCGTGGGGCTTGAACTCTGGGCCTGAGTGCTGTTATTTCAGCTCTTCAGCTCAAGGCGAGCACTCTACCACTTGAGCTACAGCGCAACTTCCAGTTTTCTGGTGGTTTATTGGAGATAAGAGTTTCATGGCTGGCTTTGAACCTTGATCCTCAGATCTCAGCCTCCTGAGTAGCTAGGATTACAGGCGTGAGCCACTGGCAACCAGCTGGCCCTATTCTTAAAAATTAATAATTTTGTTCTGTTTCTTTTGGGGGGGGCAGTTGTGGGGCTTGAACTCTGGGCTTGGGCACTGTCCCTCAGCTCTTCAGCTCAAGGCTCTTAGCGCCTTACCACTTGAGCCACAGTACCACTTGTGGTTTTCTGAGTGGTTTATTGGAGATAAGAATCTCACGGAGTTTCCTGCCTAGGCTGGCTCTGAACTGTGATCCTCATATCTCAGCCTTCTGAGTAGGTAGGATTACAGGCGTGAGCCTCCA